ACACGTTGACCTGCTCTTCCTGTACTAAGTGCAGACATCCTCTCACTCCGTGAGCCTGTGACGTGCTCCCCTCACAGGTCAGATGTCAGCGCCCTGTGCTCGGGTTGAGGGAAGTCAACAGCTCACCCACTCTTCTTGTGGGCATTTGTTTAATGTATCCTCTGTTCCAGGCACCCTGCTAGGGGCTGGAGCTATACAGACTGTAAGGTATGGGCCCTGTCTTCAGGGAACTTACAGTCTTGTTGGGGAGCCAGGCTGGTAAATCAGGAAGAGCAAAGAGTAAGAAAAAAGTTACAGTTGACAAGTGTACTGGATCCTGAGGCCAACTGAGAGGTCAGGGAAGGTTTCCAGAAGGAGGGGCTGACTGGGTTGAGTTTGAACTAGAAATTAGCTAGATAAAGAGAGGGCAGTGGACACTCCAGGTGGAGGGACAGCATGTGTGCGAAATGGAAGCAAGAAACAGTGACGTGCTGGGGGGATTGGACTGTTTGGCTGGAATGAAGGGTGTGTAGTGAAGTGGCAGGAGATGGAGTTTGAGTTTTATTCTGAAACTTGAAGAGCCATTGAAGGGTTTGAAGAAGGGGAGAGACAAAAGTAGATTTTTAATTTAGAGGCCTCTGATAATTCTGGGAGTTTGGGTTGCAGGCCAGGAGAGAGTTGGAAGGTGTATGCAGTGGCCTGGTTGAGCTGAGATGAATGTTCCATGAGGTCGAGGGCACGGGAATGGATAGCAAGGAGGTGATGGACTGGGAGGTCTTAAGAGGTGGCATCTGTGTCTATGGGACCTGCCATCGGCTGGATGCGGGAAGCCGGGCTGGAGAAGTCACAGTGACTACTGGGTGGGTAGCAGTTTTCTTTCCCAAGAGAGAAGTAGGAAGAGGAGCAGTTTTCTGCGGACAGATGATCATTCCATTTGGGTGTGTTGACTCTGAGTGCCCCTGGGGTGTGGCGTGGAAATGTCTATGGGATGCACAGCATGAAAGCTCAGGAGAGTGGTCTGGGGTAGAGATATGGATTGGGAGTCATTAGGATGTTAACTTTCGGTTGAAACTATGGGTTTAAATGAAGTCACTTTTGGGGAGGATAAAGGGACGAGCAGGGGGTCTGGGGAAGACTGACTTAAGCAGAGGGACAGGTGTCCCAGGGGGATGTGGGGGTCTGAAGTTGTTTTGCATCAAGACCAGAGCCCTGGTTCTGACTGATTCCTTTTTCCTTTCCCAGGCAGCTGACTCTGCTGGTGTCCAGTGAGGACTCAAGTTACATGCCAGCCAGGGTGATGGTGTTTGGGGGTGACAATGCCAGCTGCATCAGTACAGAGCTCAACATGGTGGGGACCCTGGGCCTCCTTTCACATTTCTCTCCATCTTTCTGTTGGTCCCAGGGCCTTATCGGAAGGACCAGCCCCAGGGGAATGCCCACATCCCTTCCTCTGGGGCAGGCACTGCTTCCTAAGCAGCGAGAGTGGAATGAGGGTGGTGGAGCACGCAGGTCCTTGAGCGCAGTGCGGGAGAAGTGAAGGGCACATCCTGTCACAGACATGGTCGCTGTCAACAGTCCTTTTAGCTCCACTTCTGGAGCTGACAGCTCTCTCTTCTCCCCAACCCCGCCAGGTGAGTGTGATGCCCTCCGCCAGCCGCGTGATCCTCCTGGAGAACCTGACCCGCTTCTGGCCCGTCATCCAGATCCGCATAAAGCGCTGCCAGCAGGTGGGGCTGGGGGCCGGGGACAGGGAGGTAGCACTGGGTCTCCATTATGGCTGGTCTCTCCAGCATTTGGGAGCCAGGGTCAGGCCAAGGTTCTTCCTTGGTCTATGTCCGGCTGGCCCAGGTATCTGTTGGGGTCCAGAGATGCGAAAATGCCGCCAGGGAGCTGAGGGTGTGAGGCCTGTTCACACTGCAGGGCGGCATCGACACCCGGGTTCGGGGTGTGGAGGTCCTGGGCCCCAAGCCCACTTTCTGGCCACTATTCCGAGAGCAACTGTGTCGCCGTACGTGTCTCTTCTACACAATTCGGGCACAAGCCTGGAGCAAGGACATTGCGGAGGACCGCAGGCGCCTCCTCCAGCTCTGTCCCAGGTGGGTGGGCAGGAGGCCACAGGCAGGGCTGAGGTGGGAGGAAGGATGGTTAAGGAGCAGGACACCGCCAAGGAGATATGCTCCCCGGGTGTCTGAAAAGTAAAGCAGCAGCCAGACAGGAGGGGAAAGGGCAGAGGTGAGAAGTGTGTGATGATTGGGGAGAGCAGGGTGAGGGACCGCACTGGGAGGGTGATCAGGAGTTGACTGCGCTTGAGCAGAGGCCTCAGGGAAGTCTTAATCCTGGACCAAATACTCTGTTCCCAGACTGAATAGGGTTTTGCGCCACGAGCAGAATTTTGCCGATCGCTTCCTCCCTGATGATGAGGCCGCCCAAGCACTGGGCAAGACCTGCTGGGAGGCCCTGGTCAGCCCCCTGGTGCAGAACATCACCTCCCCCGGTAACCACCCTGTCCCCTGGCCCCACTAACCCATCCTTGTTAGTTATTCCCAGGGATGACCTGAGTTAATGCTCTTGATTCTCTTGGTTCCTGTCTTTATCCCTGAAGGCCTGACTCCTCAGTGTTCCTCTCCTTCCTGCCCCAGGGACTGCTCCCTGAGATTCTGGTATTGAACCTCCCCCCTACCCCAACCTGTTCCTGTAGCCCCAGACTCTAGCCGAAGCAAACCTTGGTGAGGGGAGGACTAGGGCCCTGCTGCCCCCAAATCCTTTTTTATACAATTGCTCCTTCTCTCTCTTCCTCCTGGACTGTCTGTTACCCATTGCCCATGGGGACCCATCTTCTTTTAGATGCAGAAGGTATGAGCTCCTTGGGCTGGCTGCTGGATCAGTACTTAGAACAAAGGGAGAGCTCTCAGAACCCCCTGAGTCGAGCAGCTTCCTTTGCCTCCCGAGTCCGTCGCCTGTGCCACCTGCTGGTGCACGTGGAGCCTCCTCCCGCGCCTTCTCCTGAGCCGTCCGCTCTGCCCCGTGAGTCCCAGTCATGGCAGGTTGAGCTAAGAATCCGGGCAGTGGTGATATCCGACTCTTCCCTCTCCGGGGTTTTAGTCTTCCTAACTGCTTTGCTGTGGGCCTTTCCAGGTGTCGGTACCCAGGACCCCAGGACTCACCCGGGGCTGAGATGAAACCCTTCCCTTGTGCTCTGTCTCCACAGTCAGCAGGAACAGTAAAGGTCGGGACCGGAGCCCCGGGCCTTCACCAGTGCTTCCGAGCAGTAGCCTGAGGAACATAACCCAGTGCTGGCTGGGCGTGGTGCAGGAGCAGGTGGGCAGGGGCCGGGGCTGCTGGGCTGCCCACAGCCTGGGGCTGCTCCTCTGATGTGATTTCCCCTTTCTTTTCAGGTCAGCAGGTTCCTGGCTGCAGCCTGGAGGGCCCCAGACTTCGTGCCCCGTTACTGTAAACTCTATGAGCGCTTGCAGAGAGCAGGCTCCGAGCTCTTTGGGCCCCGGGCGGCCTTTGCGTTAGCCCTGCGCAGCGGCTTCTCGGGCGCCTTGCTGCAGCAGTCCTTTCTCACCGCTGCCCATGTAAGTACCTAGGGACCACCAGCCTCCGGGACATTGGGCTGGAAGCTTGTCTCTTTCTGCTCTGCCCTTTCACCTCCTTTTACTCTCCACCTTCCTCCTCCGCTCCCTCCCTTTCCATCACCCCTAGATGAGTGAGCAGTTTGCCAGACACATCGACCAGCAGATCCAGGGTGGCCTGATTGGCGGAGCCCCTGGGGTGGAAATGCTGGGGCGGCTTCAGCGGCACCTGGAGCCCATCATGGTCCTCTCTGGCCTGGAGCTGGCCACTACCTTTGAGCACTTCTACCAGTGAGTGCAGGTCTGGAGAGGTCAGGCATGGGAGGCCTAGCACCTAGAGAGGGGGAGGATTTGAGTCTTAGAGGGAAGATGAGGGAGGAGCAGTGGGGAGGCGAGATTAAGATGCAGAGGTGGCCGTGGCGCTGGTGGGAAGGACGAGGTGAGTGATGGCCTGTGATCCAGGCAGGCTACAGCAGAGGGACCTACCTTCTGGAGGGGGAGGCTGGACCTGGGCCATGCCGAGCGCCCACACTGAGGCTGGGCCTGGGCTGTGCGTGCTGCAGGCACTACATGGCGGACCGTCTCCTGGGCGTGGGCTCGAGCTGGCTGGAGGGGGCCGTGCTGGAGCAGATCGGCCTCTGCTTCCCCAACCGCCTCCCCCAGCAGATGTTGCGGAGCCTGAGCACCTCGGAGGAGCTGCAGCGCCAGTTCCACCTCTTCCAGCTCCAGCGGCTGGACAAGCTGCTCTTGGAGCAGGAAGATGAGGAGGAACAGGGCCTGGAAGAAGAGGAGGTAAGAGCAAGGGAAGAGAGTGGGAGAATAGGAGAGCAGAGAAGACTGGACCAAAGAAGAGAGCCCAAGAGCCCTTGAAATCCTTCTTTCTCTCAGGAGGAAGAGGAGGAAGAGGAGGCTGAGAAAGAACTATTTATCGAAGACCCAAGTCCAACAGTTTCTATACTGGTCCTGTCACCACGCTGCTGGCCGGTCTCCCCACTCTGCTACCTGTACCATCCCAGAAAGTGCCTTCCCACAGAATTCTGTGATGCCCTTGACCGCTTCTCCAATTTCTACAGCCAGAGTGAGGAGATAGGGACAGGCAGTTGGAGATTGGGGTGAGATTTGGGGTGGCAAGAGAGGACGAGGAGAGGACCTTTGGACAGGATTGGGTAGACATGAAGAAAAAGCAGTCTAGAGACAACAGTCTCCTAGGGAAGGGTGAACAGTGTGGGTTACATCTTCATTCCTCTTTTATTGTTTTCTTCAACTTTGTATGAATTTGTTCTATTTTTCTTTTTCTAACTTCAAGTTGCATGCTTACTTAATTTTTAGTCTTTTCAGATTTCTTTTCAAATAAAAGTATTTAAGGCTATAAATTTCCTTCTCAGCACTGCTTTAGCTGCATTATATAAGCTTTGTCTTTTTTTTTTGGTTTTTTTTTAATTGAGGTCTAATTAGTATTCAGTAAAGTGCACAAATCTTAACTATGGCTTAATGAATTTTGGTTATAAATATCCATATGCCGTCCCATAATCACCCTCCAGATCAAGATGCAGAATATTTCCAGCACCCCAAAAGCCTTCCTCCTTTGTGTCCCCTTTCTAGTCAGTATCTACCAAGAGAAATGATTACTCTTTTATTACCAGAGATTTTTGCCTGTAATTGAACATCATATAAATGGAATCATAGAGTATGTATTCTGCTGTCTGATTTCTTTTACTCAACATAATGTCTGTGGGCGTTAGTTGTATCATTACTTTGTTCTTTTGCATTGCTGAGTCATATTCCACTGCATGAATATATTTACCCGTTCTGCTATTGATGGACTTTTGGGATGTTGCATAAGTTTTTACTCATGTGGTACTTTGTTGTTTATGTTTAAGAATTTTCTAATTTTCATTATTATTTCTTTGATTTATTAGTTTTGGAAGTATATTTTAAATTTCTAAACTTTTTTTTTTGCTTGGTTATCTTTTTGGTTTAGATTTTAACCCTCAGTCCATTGTGGCCAAAGGACGTGATTTCTGTGACTCTGAGTCTTTGCAATTTAATGAGACTTCTTTTATGGCCTACTAGATGGTCAGTTTCTATAAGTGTTCCATGTGTGATTAAGAATAGTTTTGTATTCTTCAGCTCCTGACTGAAGGATTGTACATATTCCACTAAGTTGACCTTGCTAATTGTATTGTTCAAATCCTCTATAACCTTGCTACCTTACTCGTTTTTGTCTGCTTAATCTATTACTGAGAGGTGTGCACAAATCTGCCATTATAATAGTGAATTTTTAAACTAATATTCATGTCAGTTTTGCTTTCTATATTTTTGACTATGTTATCAGATAAAGTTTTAAAATCATTTATCAGTACTATCCAATAGAACTTTCTGCAAGTGATGGGAAAATCTTTTTTGCAGTGTTCATTATGATAGCCATTCGTGGCTGTTGGGCACTTAAAATGTGACTAGTGTGACTGACGAAATCAGTATTTAGTTTTATGTACTTGAACTAGTTTAAAGTTAAAAAGCCACACATGGCTAGTGGCTACTGTAATGGACTATGCATGTTTAGAATCTTCGTGGTCAGTTAAGCCCAATTATTATGAAATGACCATCTTTCTAGTAAGGTTTTTCCTCTTAAGGTCTATGTTTATCTGGTATTAATAGTATACCAGCTTTCTTCGATTTGTAACTTTTTAGTATATCTTTTTCTATCCTTTTACTTTTTTTTTGGATTGATAATTGTTTTAGGTCTCTTTTATTGTGGTAAAATATGAATAGCATAAAATTTGCCATTTTAACAATTTTAAGTGTACAATTCCGTTATCTTTTTACTTAAAAATTTTTTTGTTTGGAAATAATTTCAAATTTACAGGATATTTGTAAGAGTAATACAAAGAGCCCTCATATACTTTAAAAAATTTTTCTTTTATAATATATTTTTATTGAAGTCTCTTTATTATAAAGTTTGTCTTTTGTTAACGCTTTGCTCCATTTGCTTTTATCATTTGCTCTTTGTGTATATATACATATGTAAATATATATGTGTGTGTATAAAGTATGTATATATGTATACATGTGTATATATATATCCACATATATAGATATATAGGCATACATTTTTCTCTGAATCATTGCATATATGTTGGCCCTTTGACCTTAAATACTTTAATACAAATTCTCTAAGAATAAAGTATTCTCTTATTAAGTCACAGTACAGTTATTAATCTCAAAAATTTAACATTCATGTCATACTTTCAGTCTACCCTCCATATTCCCGTTTTGTAGACTGACTCCATAATGTCATCTTATTTTTTTCTATTCCAGGACAGGATCCAGTCTTGGATCACCTGTACGTTTAGTTGTCATGTCTCTAGTCTCCTTTCATCTGGAATAGTTCCTCGGCCTTTCTTTGTCTTTTATGATATTGACATTTTGGGAGAATACAGCCCTTTACATTTTTCTAAGTTATTCCTCATTTTAAGTTTGTATGTTTCATCATGATTAGATTCAAGTTATGCATTCTTGTCCAGAATATTAACTAAGCACACAGTTATACTTCTATAGCACACAGTTACCATCTGTCTCTCGTTTGTGATTTTAATCTTCACAACCTAGTCAAGAGGTTGTTTGACTTCCCCACTGTGTAGCTAATATTTTTTTCCCTTGGTGCTGTTAATAAGCAATCTGCAGCAATATACTTTAAAACATGCCAGTATGCTCCTCTCAGAATTTCCCCCAGTGTCCTTTTACTTTTTTGGTGGGGAGGGGTGATTAGGTTTATTTATTTATTTTTAATGGAGATACTGGGGATTGAACTCAGGACCTCGTGCATGCTAGGTCCTGAGCTATACCCTCCCCCCGGTATCCTTTTACTTTTAACTTTGCCATACTTTTATATTTTAGGAATGTGTCTTGTAAATACCTAGAATTTATTTTATAATTAATTTAATCTCTTTTTGAATTGTCAGTTTTAGCCTAGTTATAATTATTATAAGTGATGATATATTTGGCTTTTACTTCTAACATCTTATTTTTCATTTACCCTTCTTACCATTTTAAATCTTAGTTATTTCATATACACAAAAAATATATAAAACATGTACAGTTAAAATAAGACTAATAAATCAAACACCATAGATGTGATTCTGCCCTGGGTTTTTGTGCATTTTATTATTTTGGATTGATTTTTTTAAAATTCCTTTTTGGTCTCTATCAGTTTTGGAAGTTACGCACTCTATTTCTGTAATTGATTGCCCTTATATTTTTAATGTTTGACTTGTTAATATCACTTCCCACTTTCCTGAACAATAGAAGGGCCATAGAAAATCTTATTCCAGCTCTAACTCCCATCTTACTTGTTACTGTTTTTCAGCATTTTAAAATTATCTTCTTTTAGCCTCCCAATTACTCATTATTGTTTCATTCAGTTGATATTTAGATTTGCCATCATACCAATTGCTTTAGTCACCATGCCTTTTGTATCTTGACCCTTCTTTTCTAAATTCAGTTTCTTCCTAATGTCCATCCTTTATAAGTTTCTTCATTGAGGGAATATTTTTGGAAAACTTTCATCAGTTTTTATTTTAGAATGGCTTATTTTCACCCTTGTTTTAAAGATCTTTTTATTATGATAAATTTCAGACATAACACAAAAGTAGACAGAATAGAACTCCAGTATACCAACATATATCAATTCATGGTCAATCTTGCCTCGTCTGTATCCCGCCCACTTTCCCCAGCCCTCAAATTTAAAACATCAGGACTCACTTTTTAAAAGCAGGGACACTATAATGATCAAAGTTATGAATACAGCGGTTTCTAATGTCACATATACAGTTAGTATTCATATTTCCCTAATTGTCTCAAGCTTTAAAAAAAATTTTTTTTTGCCTATTGAAGATCCAAACAAAGCCCACACATTGCATTTGATGACTGATATCTTTCATTTCCCTTCATCTGTAGGTTCCTGCCTCTGTTTTCTTCCCTTGCGGTTGTTTGTGCTGGAAATTGGTGCTGGCCAAATAGAGTTGTCCAAATTGAGTTGTCCACAGGCCGGATTGTGCTGTTTGTATCCACACGGCGTCCTCTGCCATGGTCCTCTGTCTCCTTTATTTCCTGAAACAGATATTTAGAAGTAGAAGCCTATTCAGGGTCAGGGTCGATTTCTTGGGCAAGAACACTTTGTAGGTGGTGGTGTGTACTTCCACCAGGAGGCTGTCTCTTTGTGATGTGAAGGTGGGTCAGTGGGTTTCGGTGCTGTCAGTTTGATCTGTAAACTGCCTATAGTTTCCCATCAGCTGTTCACTAGACACTCGTTCAATTTCATTGCCATTAAGGTTATGAACTAGTGATGTTCTGCTTTTGTCACTCCCTCTTCAACTATTAGCCAGAATGCCTTTTCTATAAAGAGAAACTTCCTTTCATCAACTTTTTGGTTACCCTGAAATATAGTTTATGCAGGAAGCTTGATTCTTTTCTCCTCTCCCTTGTTTTTAACCAGTTTTCAAAATAGCATGTTGGTTCTCTAGCCTTTTCCAAAGATGACTTGTGAGGTCTGTTTAAAAAAATATATAATGAACTTGTGGCTTTTAAAATATTTTTGTGTTTCAGTCCATCATAGGTGTTTTTGATGTTCACATTGTCCTGTCTTTGGCCAAACCTCTCAGATTGGCCCCTTTTGGTACCCTCTCCCTTCCACAGCGTCCTTGCTTTCTAGTCTGAGCAAACATCCCAGGCTCATAGGAGGAGGAAGAGACCCAGCCCAGGGCAGCTCTGCTCTCTGGTGTTTGTTCCATGGAGCCCACCTGGCACAGGGCTGGGCACGGGGTGGGCCCCCTGATCCCTGCGGTTTGCCAGGGGGGCCAGGCAGAGAGGAGGCTGAGCTCTGGAGGCTGGACGAGGCGCCTCCATGACGGTTACTGCTGGGCCCTGCCCCTGCAGAGACAGGCAGAGCTTGCTGAGCGGTGCACCCTCGCCTCTGCCCTGACCCCTCGTTTCCCTCCTCTTTGTTTCCACTTCTTCCCTCAACACTTCCCCAGGTCAGAAGCATCCAGCTCTGGACGTGGGACCGCGTCGGCGGCTGCAGTGGACGTGGCTGGGCCGGGCTGAGCTGCAGTCTGGGAACCAGACCCTGCATGTGTCCACCGTGCAGATGTGGCTGCTGCTGCAGCTCAACCGGGCGGAGGTGCCGCAGCCCCTTACCTCCCGCTGTCTTCTCCTCTCCTTTGTCTGTCTCTGTCCTTCCCGCAAACTCTGTTCCTCCTTCCATCCTTCCTCTTGTTTTCCTTTCCCTTACCTACTCCTGACTGGCCATGTTTCTCCTGAGCAGGAGGTGTCAGTAGAGAGCTTGCTGAAGACGTCTGACCTCAGCCCCGAGCTGCTGCTCCAGGCACTCGGGCCCCTCACCGCTGACAGTGGCCCTTTGACCCTGCACGAGGGTCAGGACTTTCCACACGGGGGTAGGTCAGTGGGGGGGTGCTGAGCCTCTGCTCCGAGGGGGTGGGGCTCTCTGGGTGGGAGTAGAATAGGGGGCGAGAATGGGGCCCCTTCTCCTCCTCAGGTCCTGACTGGGAGTGGGTTCCAGGTGTGCTGCGGCTCCGGGAGCCTGGGCCCCGGCCCTGTGGGGAGGCCCTGTGGCTGCTGCCTCCCCAGACGTACCTGAATGTAGAGGAGGAGGAGGGCCGGACCCTGGAGCAGAAGAGGAACCTCTTGAGCTGTCTTCTTGTCCGTATTCTCAAAGCCTACGGGGAAAAGGGCCTCCACGTCGACCAGCTGGTTTGCCTGGTAGGCAGAGGGGACCAGGGAGGAAGTCGGGAAGGGCGTCATGCTCGGGGTTGGGGGTTGGAGCCTGGGGTCATCACAGGGAAGGCAAAGTCAGTACGAGGCCTTGCAGGGTGACATTTCCAACTGCGTTTTCTGTTCCTGACGGGCAGTTAGAAGGTAGAGACCAGACATGAGTGTTGACAGTGTGTCAGGCCCTATTGGAAGAGTGTACGTGACTAAGTCATTTAATCCTCACATTTAATAGTATTATTATTATTACCCCCATGTGACAGATGAGAAAAGTGAGGCAAGATTTAGTAAGTCATCCATACTCACACAGTTGGTAAGTGGCAGAGCTGGGCATTGAACCCAGGCGGGCTGGCCCATCTAGGTTAAAGCGGCCCGCCTTTTTCCTGTCCTCCCGTCCAGGTGCTGGAGGCCTGGCAGAAGGGTCCAAATCCCCCTGGAAGCCTGGGCCGTGCTGTTGTTGGGGGCGTGGCCTGTACCAGTACAGACGTCCTCTCTTGCATCCTGCACCTCCTGGGCCAGGGCTACGTGAACCGGCGCGATGATCGGCCCCAGATCCTGACATATGCCTCTCCACAGCCCATGGGGCCCTGCCGGGGCCAGGCAGAAGTCCCCTTCTACGGCAGCCAGACCTCCGAGACCTCCAAGCCTAGGTAGCCACCCCTAGCCGGCCCCCCTGCTGCTGGGCTCCAAGCCAGTAGAGAGGGGTGGGCTCCGCAGGACAGATGGCACTGCAGTGATGTGCATGGGGTCGTAGTGCCAAAGTCAGGCTTCCAGTGGAAAAACGCTTCGCTTCTTTCTTTGTCTAACCCCGTTTTCCCTGTCTCTGGTATCTCCCCCACTTTGCTCGTCCTCATCCCCTGCTCCCAGCACTGTCACCCCCTTCTTTGCCTCTTTCCCAGCTGGAGGCCTTGCTGTCCCCATCCTCCTAAAGCCAGCCCTTACGCAAGGGACCCAGACATGTAACCTCCCTTCTGGGTGTCTTTCAGTCTAAGCAAAATTGAAATCTTACACACTTGTGTACTGAATACTAACTGTGCACTCTGCTCAATGAAATACACAAACCCCAGTTTTCAGGAAATCTGTTCTACAGAGGAATTTGCCAGAGGATGCCCCTAATTACTTGGCACCCTAAAGCTTTTTCATCAGCTCCAGTTCACCAGAAGTTGTTATGGCTCTACCTTTATGCCTGCTGTTTGCATTGTGTGTAAAGTGCGTTCTCTGGAGCAGTCTTTCTTAGACTTTCACATGCACACACAGCACCCGGGGGTCTTGTTAAAATGCAGATCCTGAGTCAGCAGCACTCCCTGTGACGCCTCTGCTGCCGGTCCACAGACCACCCTTGGAGGAGTAAGGCGTCCTTACCCCTGCCCTCTAGATTCCGGTAGTGCCCAGATCACTGCAGCAGCCAGCCCCACCCCTACTTACAGGTGCTTCTGTTGGGGCCGTGCTCGGACACGTGGCTTGGGTGGTTAGCCTCAGGCTGGTTAAGTAAGCGCGAGGAGGGATGCACAAGTCGGGTGTGGGGCCGGCGTGGGGTTCAGCTAATAGGCTGGACACGCAGGGCAAAGAGACTGACCGCTGACTGCTCTCTCCCCTAAGCCCAGAAGCTGTGGCCGCCCTGGCATCCCTGCAGCTGCCCGCAGGCCGCACCATGAGCCCCCAGGAGGTGGAAGGGTTGATGGAGCAGACAGTGCAGCAGGTGCAGGAGATGCTGAACCTGGAGCCCGATGTGGCTCAGCACCTGCTGGCTCATTCCCACTGGGGTGCCGAACAGCTGCTGCAGAGCTACAGCGAAAACCCTGAGCCACTGCTGCTGGCGGCTGGGCTGTGCGTCCCCCAGGCCCAGGCCGCCCCCACACGCCCCGACCACTGCCCTGTCTGTGTGAGCCCCCTGGAGCCCGACGATGACTTGCCGTCCCTCTGCTGCATGCACTACTGCTGCAAGGTGAGGCCCCGCTCCCTCCTGCCCCTGCTCTCCTGCCCGGGCACAGTCCTTGGGGAACCTCTGGGTTCCAGCCCCAGCACTGCCATTTCCTACCCTGGGCAATGTTGGACGAGTCTCTTAGTCCCTCTTAAACTGGTTTTGTCATGTGTCACCTGCCGTGACACTCTGAAGGTTGATTGCTAGGATCTGGCGACATGTATCAGTGGTTCTCAAACTTTGCTGCATATTATAATGACTGGGAGCCTTTAAAATTCTGCTGCTCAGAGTGTACCCCAGACCAATTAACTCAGAAACTCAGGCATCTGGAGTTTTAATAACTCCTCAAGAGATTCCAATGTTCAGCCAGATTTGAGAACTAGAGATAGAGAGAGAGACAGACAGACAGGTGGAGAGAGGGAGGGAACTCAGGTAGGTAGGTAGGGAGATGGTACACACACACACATACAGAATATACATCAGGGCACTGTGTGAATGAGAAGTGTTGTTAAATTGCTGATGACGATGATTTATGGTTTCCTTATCACCATTCAAGGCTCTTTATCCTAGAATATCACTTCTTTTATCATATATACTCTTATTTAATATAAAGATAAAAAGAAATGGTTTAAGCCAGAAAACAGCACAGAAGCAGAAGGGAAGTAGGAGCAGTCAGGCTGCTGTAAAGTGGAAGCAGAGAGGCTGAAGATGGGGGAGTCTCCACAGGCAGGCACCCCCCAGGTGCCTCACAGCTCTTAGAACTGCTCCCAGGTCCAAACCCATCGTAACTGGAGGAGCGCCTTGTTGCCATGAGTTCTAGCCGTCTGTCCCCGCAGCGCCCCCCGGCGGTGGGTGACCTGGGCATGTGTGTGTCCCTCTCTCCTTCCCTTTTGCTCGGCTCCAGGCTACTCTTCTCACATAGCTGCCTCTGCTCCCTTCTTCCAGGTTCTTAATTATTTCATTTACACTTTTCACTTTTTCATTCAACTAACACTTTTCATGGACTCACTCCGTGCCTAGCACTGGGTGCTGTGCGAGGGAGCGGGGAGATGCCAGCAGATGACCCGAGAGCTGGCAATAACCGCGGCTGAC